TTTGGCAATGTTAATCCCATTAATATTTTCGAAGATTTTAGTTGTTAAGTTTTCATGATTAAAATTTATGGGAATCCAAGATTAAGCCCGAACTCACCATAAATCAAAGTGATGTAGTAAACCTCAAATTGGTTTCATAACTCATCTTTAATCTATTTAATTACCTTTTGTCTCTCTTCTTCATTTTCATTGTCTTTTTCAAAAGAGGGGCATCTAGAAACATAAAAATTAACAATGAGATACTAATTAAATATTATAGGTATATTTTTATTTAACTTTTAATATTTTAGTAACAGAAAAAACTAATGTTTGTTTAATGATAAATCTCAAATTGTTATTATTCATAGTGTATGAACTATTGTATGGATATATGCATCATCATGAGGTTTATCATACTCAATTTTTGGAAACTAAGTGCAGTTGTAAAAGTGTTCATAAATAAATAAAGAAAGAAAATACCTACAATTATAAGAGGATGTACATTATATGTATTCTATTTTATTTCTATAACTATTAAACCTCCAAACAATTTACTAACTTATTTTTTCTTGTTAAATCATTGAAAAAAATACCTATAATTATTTTTTCTTGTCAAATCACGGTCTACAAATGGGGTGGATCCTTTAAGAATGCACACACAACAATGACAATATTGGTATTACTATACCTGATATAAATTGTGTTGGATCCCAACCTTCCAATTTGGGCTGAAATTCCAGGAACATGGATCCTTAACGAATCCAAACACTTTGATATGGTGGTCCTTCAAGATTAAAGATTTCACGTCAACCTGCTCAGTTTCAAGACTCCAACAAAGTTGATTATCCAAACTAAGTTCAAACCATTCGTAGTTGGATCCATCAAGGGAAAATCTATTTTTAGTTTTAGTAATGTTAATATCATATAATATATTTTGCCCTAACAGGACTTCACCTGTCCCCATACCTGAAACTCCAAACCTAGATGATGATGAGAATTGATATATATATATATATATATATATATATAAATATAAAATAAAATTACACGTGCCATGTCAACATGTCTCTCCTTTGATAGAAGCCATTTATCTATTTATCTATTTTTTGTATTTTTTATTTTAAAAATATAAAAAAGTAATCATTGTCTATTTTGATTTGATCAATAAAACTATACACTATTAGAGAGAGAGAGAGATTTGGGTTTTCTATGGCCTCTTATTTTAATACGTGTTATTATTACATTTAAGAGAGAGAGAGAGAGAGAGAGCGAGAGAGCTTTGGGTTTTCCAAGGCTCTTATTTTAATGCATGTCATTATTGCATTTAAGAAACACATAATAGTAATAATATAAATAGTTTGAGTTTAAACAATAAAAAAATTATTAATTTAAAAATCCAATAGACTTTCACTCAAAATAAATATTAAAAAAACTTAGTAAATATTAAAAATGTGTTTTAATTCCACTTAAAAACCAAACTTAATAAACACAAATAAAAAAAAATTAATAATATTATTAGATAAATTTGTATTATTTCATTTTTAATTAATTAATAACTTTTATGATTTGAGACCATTATTTTGCATAATGAACTCATTAAATGTGGTAAAAATTAATGAAAATTTAAAATGTAGAACCCATTTTATTAACAATACTTTATTGCAAAAAATTACTAAATAATAATGAAAAAATACCAACAATGAATTAAAAATATGGAAAATTAAAAAAAAAAAAACTAAACGTAATTAAAATACTGAAAATAATTAAAAAATATTAAAAGTTAACAGTATTTTATATTAATAAGGGTACTTACTAAAAACTAATTTCAAAGTACAAATAATAGGATTTTATTATTAAAAAATACCCAAGCCATAAATTATTGAAAACTAACTGTATTTTTTATTAACTATTGTATTTATTTAGTTATTTTTTTTTATTTTTACTAAAAGGAAATGCAAATTAATTTTGTAGTGACTAATATGCAAAAGTAAATGCTAAAAATAATGGGAATTATTAAAAATTACTCATTTGCAAAAATGACTGAATAACAATGAAGAAAATACCAAAAATTAATTAAAAAGTCGAAAAAGTATGAAAAACCTAAAACTTAATTAAATTACTAAAAATAATTAAAACTAAATTAATTGTATTTTATTGCAAAAAAATATTGAATAATAATGAAAAATAATGCTTTTTAATTATTAACAATAATATAAATAGCAATAAATATTTTTAAAATGTAATTAATAGTAATTATAATTTAAGCTATACATAGCATAAAATCACATTTAATTACCAAAAAGTTATATTAAATTACCAAAAAATTACACTTAATTAGTTTTAGCCAATAAATTACCAATATTTCTGAAAATATGATAGTTTCCAGAAATTTACTATATTTTAAATAAATACAATATTTTAGTAGGTAATAGTATTTTAATAATTACAGTATTTTTAATAATTAATAGTATTTTAATAAATACAATATTTTTAATAATTAATATCATTTTATTGAATTCATTTTCTATTAAAATAGTATTAATAATTACATTAATAAGTAATGCATTTATTAATTAATCACTTGTATTTATTAAAAACATATTTATTAATTAACCGTGAATTAATAGTTAATAGTATTTTAACAAATACAGTATTTAATAATTAATAGTATTTAGTTAATTACAATATTTATTAATTAATATTACTTAACTAATTGCAGTACTTACTAATTAATAGTATTTAATTAATTAGCCATATATTCAATAAATATAGTATTTTAATAATTAGCATTATTTTAATAAATACATTATTTTTCAAAACAAAATTTTATTAGAATATTAATAATGGTTATAGTATCTTTATATAATTAACTATATTTATTAAAATATTTTATTTATTAATAATACAATATTAAAATGATCCTGGTTCATCTAGAAATCTATAACATGCAATCTATATATAATTTGAAGCCTAATAACTATAATTAATAAACTTACTAGAATTAATAAAAATATTAAAATTCAGCGATTTTTTATCTAACAATTATTAAAAGTTGTGAAATTAATAAAAATTAATTAGTAGTTCATAAATTAAAAATGAAATATAGTTAAGTAGTATAATTAAAATAAATATAAAAAGTAAAAGATTATAAAAAATAAAAATTAAACCATTTGTATAATGTCATAAGACTACTGGTACTTAGGGATGATCACTTATAACTTAGTTCAACCTTGGCTCAAGCAAATATTTTCTTCTAAGTTAGGTTTAGCTTAGATCTACACCACACCCATAGTATAAATTATTGATAAGATAATTAAATTTTAATAGGTTTTATTAGGGTTGAGCACCATTCGGTTAAAACTAAAAACCAAATAAAAAATTTTGGTTTCTACTTTTTTTCGGTTTGATTTTTTCAATTTTTGGTTAAATCGGTTTTTGGTTTTAGTTTTTAGAATTAGAAATTCGATTAACCAAATTAGTCAAACTTTCTATTATTATATATAATATGTAACATATAATATATAATATATTATACATATTAATTTATAATATAATGAAAATTGATTTCATAATATATAATATATGTTATTATATATAATAGAGTATATATTATTAAAATTTGGTTTTAATCGAAATAACCAAAATTTCCAGTTTTAGCTTTGGTTTTATTTTTTTAGTTCAATTTTTAAAATTTCTGTTTATTCGGTTCGACTTTTAACTGAATAAACCAAATGCTCACCCCTAGGTTTTATCTAGCAACTATTGAAAAGTAGTATTGATATGATAATTGAAATTAATAATAAAAAAGTAACAAATCGGTTATAACTTAACCTAACCCAATTAGATCTATAAATTTCCAAGCTCAAGCAACTATTTTCTTTTGATTTAGGTCTAGTTGAGATATGCACTAAGCCCACACATTATAGGGATAATCAGATTTGAAGTCTAATTAGGTATCAAACTTTTGGAATCCAATAATGTATTTAGTGGATATGGCCCAATCTAAACAACATCTAATAAGCTCAACTTGGAAGTTATATACATATATGGTAAAAGTTATTATATAATATGTGGATAACAAATTATATATATATATATATATATATATATATATATATATATTAGACTAGAATTAAATAAAATTTTTAATTTGTAAAAACTTAATAGTTTTATAATTAACATGGTCAATCCTGTAAGCCTATACAAATATTATTACACTTAAGGTGTGGGATGGGCTAGGCCAAACAATCTTAAAAACTACTAACACACTATCAAAATTTATCCTAAAATTTGTAATTTTTTGGTTCATCGTGTTACACAATATGGGTGGCCCATCCCTCATAGTTCCTTTGGTTTCAATATTATCTAAAAATAGTTAAAAAAACTTAAAAATAATAGATACATGAGTTGCACTTGGTTTGATGACTTTGGTCCAATCCAATTACGAATATTACAATGCATGCAACTTGGGTCAATTGGGTTAGAATGAGGATCAAACTAAGCCTAATCTGAAGTCTTAAACCCTGAGTTTGGACTTACATTAATTTAGTTAATGACTAAAAAAGTTAACTAAGACTAATTTAATTATAATTATAAACTAATTTTATAATATTTATTGATATTTAATTATTTTAAAAATATTTATTATTTCACTTTATTTGATACATCCCGTGCATCGCACGGGCCCCGCTAGTGTATGGCTGTATGCAAAAGCACCGGATCGAAAGAAAGCCAGTACGCCCTAAAAGTTAATTGATCTCTGCGGTTCGTATTGCACGGGATTATGATCGAACGGTAAGTATTTTATTTATTAAGTAATAAGCCAGTACGCACTAAAAGTTAATATACTCTCACCTGAAAGTATCACGTGACTCGTGTGACGTGTCCCCCCTCCCCCCACACACGAGTAGGAGAAGAGAGGTGTCACGTGTTCAAGCCCTAACGATCCCGCCTTCTAAAATCCAAAGTCTTTATTTCTTTTGAAATTCATATATTCCATTTCTTATTTATTTCTCCCTCTCCTCTCTCTCTTCCCTCCATTTCTTTCCCGCCTCTATCTTCGTCCTTAAAAACCCATCCGCAATCTGATCCTGCATTCCTCTCTCTCTCTCTCTCTCTCTCTCCTGCGCGGCTTTCTCTCCTTTTTCCCAGTCTGCTCTTCTCTGGCACATCTCAGTCGTCATGAATCGAAGGGTTCGAAGCCTCTCCAGATCAGCAGCGAAGGGAGACGAGGGTTTCTATAGATACCTAAAACCAGGAGCACTCGCTCAAATCAGGGATTCTAGAATAAGTGCCAGATGCCAACGACTCGATTTACAAGCTCAAATCTCTACCTACCGATTCACTTCGTCTTTATCGTCGTCGGTGTCGACTGGAAGCAGCATCCAAGCTCAGATCGCGACGATCGATGGCTTCCCTTGTTTTGGTAGGAGAATACACAGTCCTAGATGTCCGCAGAGGAAGAAGCTTGTTGCTGCTAAGTCTATTTTCTTTTTGAGCTCGAATCCTTCTAGTCCGGTGTCAGACTCGCTCGATCCCCTAATGGATGTATTGAGTACTGATCTTCTTGTTGTTCATTAAATAAATAGTTAAAAATGTGCAATGAATCCCATTTTTTCTGTAGATTCGCCTCCATTGAAGGATCGCTGCAATAAATCACATTCTTTTAAACGATTGACATGCGCATAAAAGAAAAAACAAAAATAACAAGTAAATCTGAAATGAATAACCTAACATTCGGCCTTTCTGTATTCAGATTAGAAGTTGTATATTGTAAGATCGGTTTTGTACTCAAATTTTCTTTAGCCTGGAAACTCTTTCTAGTTCTACTCAAGCTTTCAGTTTGGTGTTTGATTTCTTGAAACCTTCTGTTTATATCACAAGATTTTGTTCCCGTGTTGAATTGTTGCTTCTAGGCTCTATCTGAACGATGGAGGTGAAATTAGCCCGGTTTCAGTTTCCTGCCTTTGAATAGAATTTGTGTTTGTTTCTTTTTCCCTTTTAGTTTTCCTTGCAATTCTTTTCTTCTTTATTTGGGTTTTCTATGGGAAGCCATGGTTAGGTTAAATCTGTAATTAAGAATTAAACACTTTGAAGTGAATCCTTATTTTATAGATCCGATGCGAACTCCACTCATTAGTTGTTACAAAAATAAGGATTTTAGTTTTTTCCCTTGTCACCAACCATCAATTTGATGTTTGGTTGTTGCGTTTCATACTTTCATTTGCAATTTCCTCGTAGACCTTTTTGTTCTGCTGATGAGTTCTTTTGGAAAAAGGGCCTTTTAATTGAACTAGGTTTTCCAAAAAAGACCTTATTAATTGAACTAGGTTTTACAAACAAGATTCATCTGTTGGAGTTAAAGGCCCTACTTCAGTGAAAATAAAATTCTATCTTTTTGACTTGGGCTTCGTTCAACTCTTCTGTTTGTTGAGATTTATTAGCCAAGCTTAATTCTATTTGAGGTGTTTGTCTTGGATATAATTACTCTTGCTTCTAGGTGTTAAACTCCATTAGATCCTACTGCCTTTTTCTACTCTGAGTTGACTTGACTAATTCCAGCTTTTTGTTCATGGTCTAATTGCAATTGGTAACAAATTAATATGCACTGTCGGTGATTAATAATTAGGTAGATAGAATGGTGTTTTATTGCCTGGATGGATATGAATAGAACTTATTAAGTTGTCTATTTATTAATTGCTATGCATCAGACTGGTATATAGTATACTAACTTTATTTATTATCTATAGTAATTATGAAAATGTTGATTTCTCTGTATGTGCAATTGAATGAATTGAATAAGGTCTCATGTTGGTCATTGGGTTATTGATTTATACATAATTTCCTTCATGTTGGGTTCGGTTGTGATGTTGAAATTGAGGGTTTGCTTGAACGTCTGTTGGATGGTTTGTATATGTGCAATTTAATGAATTGAATAAGGCCTCATGTTGGTCTTTGGGTTATTGATTTATACATAATTTCCTTCAGGTTGGGTTTTGTTGTGATGTYGAAACTGAGGTTTTGCTAGAACATCTGTTTGATGGTTTGTATAAGATTTAATATTGGTCTTTGAATTACTGATGGATTGATAATTTTTCTGTTTGCGGGTTGGTTTAGAATTAGTATACTTAACCAATGCATTTCTTTCTTCGTGAACCCCCAATCATCTCCATGCTTCTCATCCTGTGTTTTCTTGAGTGGGTGTTGGACAAACAGCAATCTGAACGTATTGCGCTTTCTATTCCAACTGGTGAAAACTACTGTAAAGCCCCTCTGCTTCTTGCACTCATGCACATGCATTGACACAAGCAACTAAAACAAAAGACTATTCTTGTTCTACTTTTCTAAATCAGAAAAGAGTATTCTTATTCTTATTTTGGCTGATTCATTTCCATTCATGTTCTTTTAACTTCTAATCAATGATGGCTTTGCAGAAGGGTGGCTTAGTAACTTGTCCCTTTTTAAGGATCTTCATTGTATGCAGATGGGAGTAGGGGAATTTTTAACCATAAAACCCTTGCCACGTGTTCTTCTATGTACTTGTCTATGAATGAAGTAGAGAATCCATGGTGTACCTCCAGTATCTCTCAACCTATGATGACAGGAGATGGAAATGTAATTGCAGAGAAAGGTCGACAATAGCAATCCTCAAGGCTCCATTTTTTCTAATGCAAAGTGGGCATAAAACCATTCAGACAAATATTTGAGATATTTTCTCTCCTTTTAAGCATTAACATCAAAACAAAGCAAAGTAGAAGAGGTGGAACATGAAGTTTACAATTGCAGCCTAAAGGAAAAAAAAGTTGGAAAGCCATAACACATCAAAAGGTTATACTTTATAGCACAAGTGCCTTACAATCAAAATGATTTTGGCCACTAAAGTTATTTTCCTTGTATTTTTTCTTCTGATCATTTAATAAGGTTCTCTTAGCTAAAAATTAAAATTACGCTTTAGGCCAACTTTTCAGGGGTAATTAAACAGTTGGAACTTGGGAGTGCTGAAGTGTTGTCTTTTATTACAAATTCCAATTTGGGAGAGTGATATATGGATTATAAAATAAAATGACTTAAAAAGAATGTTAATATATAGGATCTCTTACTTTTGAGTGTACTTTATAATATTAAATATGTTTATATTTATATGTAAACTAATTTTAATAAATCCCACATATATAAAATATGTCATTTTCACATGTAAGCCTAATCTATTTCACAGAATTTTTTGTTAGGTTTTTATGCAGAACTTTCCATTTTGCACTTAATCACCTATGCTATGTAATTTCTTGGTACAAATACAATTGTAATCCATGTATCAACTTGTTATGTTTAGAATCTGAAAAGTTACGTAACATTGTCCTAGAGAGGAATAAGATTTTGATTTTGACAATTTTCTTGCATATCTTAAGTTACTTAACATTGTCCTAGAAGAGTGGGTCTCTGAATTTTTCTTGGTTAATTGATGTTCTGCCCAAGGTTTGAAGTATCAGAAAGGCAAATTTATGAGGCTTATTGGGATATGCCTTGGGTACATATGGATATGAACGAAAAATTAAGATATGCATAGAAATACATGGAATTGTTATAAATATTTCAATAAATCATAAATAAACTTCAGTATCACTAAATATAAGGCATAAATGGGCTATTTATGCATAAACATAACATGTTTTAGTGGGTTTTATGACAAAAACATATTATAATCAGTATACAGGAACAAAAACATACTATTTAATAGAGTACTCAATTCAGTTCCAATGTGTTTGCTTGTTTTATTCTAAAAGTTAAATTAAAATTAATAAAAGTAAATATGTAATAGAAAAATTGAATGGGTTTATGGACATAATAGATCAAGTAACTATTTTGCATGTTTCATTCTAATTTTCTAAAAACTAAATAATTATTTATTTTTATTCAAATAAATGTTTTGGATGTTTTATTCTAAATACTAAATTAAAATTAAGAAAAGTAAATATGTAATAGAAAAATTGAATGGATTTATGGACATAATAGATCAAGTAACTATTTTGCATGTTTCATTCTAATTTTCTAAAAACTGAATAATTATTTTATTTTATTCAAATAATTATTTTAGATGTTTTATTCTAAATATTAAATTAAAATTAAGAAAAGTAAATATGTAATAAAAAAATTGAATGGATTTATGGACATAATAGATCAAGTAATTATTTTTCATGTTTCATTCTAATTTTCTAAGAACTGAATAATTATTTATTTTTATTCAAATAATTATGTTGGATGTTTTATTCTAAATATTAAATTGTAATTAAGAAAAATAAATATGTAATTATTTGAATAAAAATAAATAATTATTTTGTATGTTTTATTCTAATTTTCTAAAAACCGAATAGTTATTTATTTTTATTCAAATAATTATTTTGCTTGTTTTATTCTAAAAATTAAATTAAAATTAGGAAAAGTAAATATGTAATAAAAAAATTGAATGGATTTATGGACATAATAATCATATAATTATTTTGCATGTTTCATTCTAATTTTCTAAAAACTAAAAAATTATTTATTTTTGTTCAAATAATTATTTTTTTTATGTTTTATTCTAAAATTAAAATTAAAATTAAGAAAAGTAAATATGTAATAGAAAAATTGAATGAATTTGATCTATAGGCATTGTAGATCATCCATAGATTTACATCATACTCAACCTATAAGGTTAAATTACATAAAATTAAAGATATTATAAATATTTTTTATTCTAAAAATTAAAAAAATATAAAAAAAATCAATTATTTATAAAAAAATTCAATTGATCTATGGACATGGTGGATCATCCATAGTTCTACAACACACTCAGCCTATAGGGTTAGATCATATAAAATTAAAGAAATTATATTTATCAATTATTTACAAAAATTTTCAATTGATCTATGGACATGGTAGATCATCCATAGATCTACAACATAGTCAGCCTATAAGGTTAGATCACATAAAATTAAAGAAATTAAAATTATATATATTTTATTTATTCTAAAAATAAAAAAAATAAAAAAATCATTGATCTATGGACATGGTAGATCATTCATAGATCTACAACATAATCAACTTTTAGAGGTAGATCAAAAGAAAAACCTAAAAATTTCATTTTTTTTTTCAGATTTTTTATTATTCTGAAATTTCTTCAAATATTTACAAAGATTTACATATAGCAGCAAAATAAGTGGGATTTTTCGCACAAGAATAGTAGATCAATATACATAAAGATGTTTTCAAGCATCCAAACTAAAAAGAACCCAAAAACATTGGCTGAAAAATGTAAAAAAATTTGAAAAAACATCATATTTTCGCTATTTTTTAAACAACCTTGAAAAACTTGTTGAATATTTCAATTTTGTAGGTGTTTTAATGGGTTTTTTTTTTCTAGATTTGAGTCTCTAAGAATGTAAAGAAAGTTTTTGGAGGGTTTGGGGAAGAAAGAGGGCTTCTGAAATGGGTTTAGAAGCCCCTTTTCGAAGGCTATTCTATTTGTAATAGTGAATTCATTGCGTATTGGCTGAAACATATCGAAACGAGCCAATACTGTTTTAGCACGACGAAAAGAGACGGTACCTTCAATTTAGGACCGTCTCTCGTGCCGGTAAGTTGAAAAA